ACAATCGAGCAGGTATTCGCTGAAATTTAAAAATTCGAAATTTTTAAAAAAGTATCAGGAGAACATGACAATCGAGTAGGTATTCACTGAAATTTCAAAATTTCGAATTTTTCAAGAAATTATCAGAAGAACATAACAATCGAGTAGGTATTCGCTGAAATTTAAAAATTCGAAATTTTTAAAAAAGTATCAGGAGAACATAACAATCGAGTAGGTATTCACTGAAATTTAACAATTCGAAATTTTCGAAAAAGAATGAGGAGCGCATGACAATTGATGAGGTATTCACTGAAATTGAAAAATTCAAAATTTTCGAAAATGTATCAGGCGAGCATGAAAATGTAGGAGGTATTGATGGAAATGTAAAAAAATTCGAAATTTTATAATACAAAACAAAACCAATTTCGTAACGCAGAAAATACCATTCACACTATCGACTGGTCCCTCTGAGAGGCGGACGGCTACTGAGGCAGTTACCGAGTCGGCTGACGGGCAGACACCCCACCATTAGGTGCGGCCCCCCCTTTCCCTTGGAGTTTGAACTCCGCCCAACTGAGCCGCTCAGTGGGGGTTTGAGTGACCCCACCGGCATTGCAGTACCTCCCCCCAAGAGAAAGAGGGGGGCGCGCTCAGTGGTGGGGTGTCAACCGACTCGGTAACTCCCTCAGTAGTCGGCTGAGGAGCAGAGACCCCCATTGCGTGTGGCGCCCTCTCTCTCTTGGGATGCGGTACTACAATGCCAGTGGGGTCATTCAAACCCCTCGAACTGAGCCTCCACTTTCGTCAATCCTTTTTGGTAAACGTTCTTCAACACCGGCGCCATGTTGGTGAATTGATCCGTCGTGTGCGCGTCTTTCTCCGATTTTAGAATAGAAAAAAAGAGCACTGCTCCACTCATTACCAATTCAACTTCTTTATAACGGTAAAACAATCACGTGACAGAGAAAAATCAATTGTCAACGGAGCCTTACGTGGCGTATGATTTATTCAATCTGACAATATCACTCCGATTTGTCCGATTAATCAACACAGTTGCACGTTTCAGAGCGTTACCTCTGGAATCAATCTACCCTGAAAAATGATGTACACGGTAAGAGAAATTAATATGAAAAAAATTTATACGACATTTTTTTCACTGCCATATCTACGAAGAATCAGTGATCCCGGTGTCTCGATTATCAGCTATTGGAGAGATTTTTTTTCTTACATTCTCAGGGGACAACCGCCTCGCAGGACACGCGTTTCAGTGATAAAGAGAAGAAACTCCTAAAACAGATGAAATTCGGAGACTCTTTGACTCAGAAAGTATGAAAAATATTTCAATGATTTTTCGTTATTATCAACTTCGTACTGATGTACTGAATAATTCCCTGCAGGTCGATATGAGCAAAGTGAAGCTGGACGTTATTAAGCCTTGGATAACAACAAAAATCACCCAGATCCTGGGAATTGAGGACGACGTTGTCGTCGAGTTTGTGTATAACCAGCTGGAGGAGAAGGTGAGAACTTTAAATTCATAGTTGAAAAATAGTTATTACTGGGATATTTAAAAAAATCAACATTAATTCATCACTCCAAGCCAGATAGACAGACTCTCACCAGGCTTTTTCCCCTCATCTTTAGGGTAAAGAAATAGAAAGAAAAAAAAATACCAATCTAAATGATTATTTCAGCATAAATGTATTATACGGCTGCGATCAAATGGTCGTAGTAAAAAAACGCACGTAAGCATTTTGTTCACCTGGAACGAAAGATATCAGTAGCGAATTGCTGTGTTTTCGACAAATATCTCCAAATCCGCGAGAGATGGCAAATTTTTTTGTAATAACCATTTTATAGCTGCCAATTAGCTCCGCAAAAAGAGTTATAACAAATCTTTAAATATCTCCCCCAGATTACGAGATATTCATAAAAAACAAACAGACACTCAAAATCGATTTTACCCGTTTTACCGTTTTTCCACTTGATTATTTTTCGTTTCACACCTCACGCTAAAGTGATTATAATGATTATTCCTCAACAGCGCCGCGTGCAATCTTATCTTTTGATTCTCTTGTTTAACGTGAAGAAAGAAAGAAAAAAAGCAAAGTAACGTGAATAAAATTTGAATTGAAATATTAAGATCCATAATATAAAAAATGGAATTAGAATATATCTTACCACATGATCTTTGAATTCTCCGTTAGTATAAGTAGAGACCGTTGCTGATGGGCGTATCAACCCAATAATGTCCGAATGGATGTGAAAAATAAGGATGCGTCCACCATCATCCCAACAGCCCCGGGAATTTAGTGATTCACCAGGCCGTACCGCAGGTTAATCCCGACATTTGACGATGGACTCTTCCTCTTCTTCTCCCCCACTTCAAAATTGCCACGCCAATCATCCCGCAACTTGTCCACTTCTCGTTAATCACCATAATCACCATCAGTGTCTTCATCAAGCCTCAAACGTTGAGGCCACTCCAGCATGAATCCTCAGAATCATCGAGCCCACCAGTCACTCGTCACAAATTACCAGCCGATCCTTGAGTTGGCATTTGACAAAATGCCAGTCACCATAGCTCATCGTCCACAAATATTGTGGTCATAGCAGTCACATCGAGCAGCATTCAGCATTCACCATTCTGACGGCACCACGGGCATCAATATCTTCTCATTAATCCAGGGGAGGATCCTGCTCGTGTCATTGATCCACTTATCAGTTCCACCAGTCCGGTATCAACTAATCTGGCATTCACGGAGGTATTCGTCGAGCAATGTGTGTTCACATAACTCTGTTGCTCACTTGTCAATGTGGCAGGTTGGTGACTTAAAACGCGTAAAAACATTGGAAAATCAATAATTCGCATTTTATAACACATCTATTACAGCTTTAATTTTTTTTTTTCATGGAAAAATGTAATACCTTTATTTTACTTTTTTTTTATCGAGATTTTCAGGCGTCTCATCGTAATGGAGAGTTTACAATATCAATTATCTTCTCGCCCACGTATTTATTGTCATATGTTTTTTTTATTGTAGCAGCGAGTGCCTCGTTGAGTCGAGTATTCGGATGATGGCGGTAAGGTAGATTATAAGATGTGTAGGAAATCTACTTTCGAGGGGGAAAAGCAGTTGATTGAGGAATTTCATAGAGAGAAACGTCTTTAAAATTTGTTTATTGGATATGATATAAGGGAGTGTCTGGTGATTATTTGGATGGATCACTTAATTGGGCATTTTTTCTGCCCTACAGCATCCCGATCCTCGGAAAATGCAGATCAACCTCACGGGTTTTCTCAATGGAAAAAATGCTAGGTCCTTCATGGGAGAATTGTGGGACCTACTGGTCTCTGCACAGGAAAGTGTCACAGGAATTCCTGAGGCATTTTTACAACAGAAGAAAGATCAGATTAAAAAACGATTGGTGGGTTATGGTGACTTTTCTCACCTTCATTTCGAAATTCGCTCTTGGATTATTTTTAATTAAATTTGAAATCATTCATTATGTCACGCCGCAGGAGGAGCAAGAAAAACTTCAGGCATCAATTGCCGAGAAGGAAAAGGAGAAGGAAAAGGAGAAAGATGATGCTGATAAAGTGAAGAAAGAGGAGAAGGACCGGGGTGGCTCTAAAGAAAGAAAACGAGAGAGGAGTCGAGATCGTGACAGAGATAGGTACAATAACCATCAACTTTAATTATTGATCGACTAAATTCGTCACTATCCCGCGAAATAAGAACTCAACCATTAATGCCTCTCTTGAATGTCTAAATTAGGAGTAAGAGGAGTCGTTCCAGGGATCGTCATCGCGACAGAGATCGTTCCAATCGCAAACACACATCTAAATCACCCAGCAAACCATCAACGAAAGATAATGGCAAGGAGATGCCCGATATGAAAAGCGAAAAAGATGGATCGCCTCATTTGGAAAACGTTATCCCCATGATGCCTATGAAAACTAAACCGTACGTTTCAGTCTCCCTTAAATTACAACGACTTTTTACTTCTGTAATTAATATTCTGTAATTAATATACTGTAATTAATATACTGTAATTAATAGAGAAGCAGCTGTAGCGATTTCTCGACTACAAGCGAAACTGATGAGCATAGCGGACGGTAAAAAGAAGACAAATCGTTCTCCCTCCCCGGAAAATGAAAAGAGCGCACCAAGAAGTGGCTCAAAGTCACCAGTGAAGTCTAAGAAATCGAGATCAAAATCTCCCGTATCGAAGAGCCGAAAGTCTCGTTCACCAGTGTCAAAGACACGCAGATCGAGATCAAAGAATCGTCATTCAAAATCAAGATCGGTGGATCGTTCAAAATCCAGAAGAACAAAATCAAAATCACCATCGAGACACTCACGCTCACGCTCACGCTCCAGGAGCAATGCGCGAAATAAATCACGTAAATCACGCTCTGATTCGAGTGACTCAAGATCGAGCAAATCGCGCTCCAAGTCACCCGATAAGCGTCGAGACCATGGAAAGAGAAATGCAAGTACTAGCAGCAGTTCTGACAGTGACAGGGGAAAAGATAAGAATGATTTTGAGATTAGAAAGAAGAAGGATGGCATCCAAGCGAAGAGATCCTATCGTAAAACTAATAAGGACGATAGTGCGAGTGACAGTGACTCTAGCCGTGAGAGAAAATCTGGAGGAAAGAGGAGGAGTCCATCCCCGAGGAAAGATCGCGATAGGTCCAAGGAACGAGACCGGTCACGAAATCGATCCCGCGATAGGAATCGGAGGTTCGTTAAATTATTATTAGAAATGAGGATTAATTATTTTTTTTTTTCATTCTTACATTTCTGGTATTCGAATTGTCATCAGGCGATCATCGCTGGACAGAGAGAGAGACAGGAGGCGCGATCACGACAGAGACAGGGACAGGGATCGTCCGGAGAGATATAGTGGGACTCGCAGTATGAGACCTCCATCCTCTCGCAGAGCCCCAAGCTGGCGAAGGTAAATTTTTTTCAGACAATAAATCAGTCATAAAAAAAAAACCACAAGAAAAAGACGTGAAAAAGTGTCTACAATCTATTCTCTTAATTACAGAAGTTCACCTCGTAGATCACCCCCACGATATCGTCGTCGATCCCCGAGCCCAGGACGTCGCCGACGCTCACCCGATCGTCGGCGTCGTTCCCCAGAGCCTCGTAACAGCCGGCGTCGCTCACCGGACAACCGTGACAGACTTAGCAGGTACGATAGATCATCATCACGTGATAGATCTAGTCGACGTGATAACTCGAAAAATCGTCGCGACAGGGAACGTAAGTCGCGCTCTAAAGAGCCAACATCCTCACTCGATCGTTCCAAAGAGACTAAAAAATCGCCGGATCAGTCTAAAGACATTAGGGACAAATTTAAGGACAAGCGAGGCATTACTGATGAGAAAGCCAAAGAGCCTGTTATTCCTCAGCGAAAGGAATTGAAAAATGGAATGTCCAAGTCGAGTAGCTCCGATAGTAGCGAGAGTAGTTCCTCCAGTGATGGAGAACAGCCCATTAGGTAAGTTCCCTGGGGATATCTCGACTTGTTGTTCTTCTTTTTATTAATTTTTTTTCACAGACACCAATGAGATGCATGAACTCTGAAAAATTATTCAGACCCCTGGATATCGAGATTTCTAATTACGCCCCACCTTGACAATTTCGATTGTTTTCAGAAAATCACCGGAAGGCAAATCATCCCACGATCAACGGGATCAACGTGACAGGGAATTAAGAGAGCAACGAGAGCGTGAACACGCGGAGGAGCTGAAGAGACGGGAGAAGGAGAGACTCCTGAAGGAAGAAGCTGCAAAACGTCAGGAGAAAGAGAGCAAGAAAATTGAGACAGTGGCAGCGAAAAAGACAGATATTCCCGTGAAGAAATCTGTTTCATCGTTGCCACTGTCGAGGCATCGATTCTCTCAGAGTCTTTCCCGTACCCCATCACCATTCAAGAAGACCGAGGACATAATTGCAGCTGCCTCAAAATCAAAGTTAGTGCCAAAAGATGGGAAGGAGGATTCCCCCAAGACTGGGACGACAGCTGAGACTTTCCAGCTGCGAAAGGACGAGAGATCAATGAAAGCAATGAAGCCTTTGGTGGATGAGAAGAAGGGAGTGAAGCCTCTGGAGGCGTCAGTCCTTAAGAAATCTTTGGAGAGTGTCAAGAAAATGAGGAAGGATCGAGACGATTCTTCGGACTCTGATGACAGTGAGGAGGAGGTCAGAAAGAAGCAGAGGAAGTCTGAGAAGTCAAGAAAATCACGTAAAGATTCTAGTGATGACGACCATTCAGATAAAGGGAGCAGCTCTGATTCCGAGGACGAGAGGAAACATTCAGATTTGAAAAGAAATAAAGATGCCCCACGAATCGACTCAATTGATGATCGCTCGAAAGATAAGAAGGACGTTAAAAAGCGTGACGTCAGTCTCAGTGACTCTCGGCGAAGATCTAAAAAAGAAATTGATGAAGAATTGAAGAAATCTAGAAAATCGAGGAAGGACTCATCCTCGGATGACGAAGAGCCGAAATCTAAAAAATATAAGAGTGAGGAGGACAAAGCCAAGTCGAGAAAATTGAAAAAAGATTCTAGCTCGGATGACGAGCCGAAGAAATCTAGGAAACGACGTGACAGTTCCTCGGACGTTGACAAGTCGAGATCGAGAAAAATGCAGAAAGAATTGATTACTGATGACGAGGGCAGACCCAAAGTGAAAAAATCACGCAGAGACTCGAGTTCTGAGGATGAGGAGGTTCCTGATAAGGACGCGAAGAAGAAACGAAAGGTCGATGACAGCTCAGACGAGGAGAAAGCCAAGAAAAAGAGGAAGAAAAAGTCTAAGACGAGTTCAACTGAGTCAGAGGTAATTTAATGATTTAAAAAAATCATGAACAGTCCTGATAAATAATTTTTCCCTAATTTATCAATCCACAGGATAGCGAGGTAGAGGAGAAGAAGAAGAAAAAGGATAAGAAACATAAAAAACATAAGAAGCATAAGAAGCACAGGAAGCACAAGAAGAAGAAGCAAGCGGATTCAGAGGAATCTGAAGCGAGTGAAGGTAATACCGAAGAGCTTGAAAAAAAACTTCGTGAAAAAGCATTGAAATCAATGAAAAAGGCACACAGTATGGACGGAAGCGACTGAACATTCTGTTTTTTTCCTTTTTTTTTTCTTTTAATAAAATTAACAACGTATACTAGAAATCGTATGGGATTATTTTACGATGTAAACTTGGAGTGACGAGAAATAAGAGAACAATGATTTTGATGTTGTCTACTGGTAAACTCACTTAACTCTGGACCCATAAATACACGAATTAACAATAATTGGTCCCCAGAGAGTTGAGTGTGATCTTCATCATAATAAAAATAATGTCAAGTGAACTTCTGTAAAATGATGAATGAATATTTAATCACTGCAATAACGATGTCCATATTCGAATTTGTAAATTGCAACAATGAACTTTTGCAATTAAACTGTAGAAATTTAGGATCACATCTTAATCCCCATTGTCATAAATAAATGATTATAAATATACGATGGATTTCAAAGTACTACCTTTTATATCAATTCATCAATATCGTGAAAAATATTAATAGTATTAATTTATTTATCTTTCAGAGATTGGCAAGCATTGACTCCCAATCAGGTGAGCATATAAGTGTACTAGTGACTTGTCCTAAATTGACAAGTTCACTATTGGATGCATCCACTTTAGCAGCAATAAGATCCTAAAAAGTTAATATGCCTAATTATTTTACTATTGATCAATAAATTGCATTTCATTGAGAGCTTTTTTTTTTGTTTTTCTACCTGTCGAAAACTCTGACGTGAGCCTACATCGATCACTAGACTATTTTCACCGAGACGTAGTACTGCCTTTCCAGACTGATGAATTTGTATTTTACCTAGGCGTCCTTCTTTAAGCGTTTGCAACGTGCAATATTCAGTGTTGGATGTATTATTAACTTCAGGAGGTTGATCCTTGCCATTTTTTGATCTGGGATCTACGTCTGGGTCTGTGTTGCGTACCCCAGGAAGACAATCTGGGAACTGAATGGATGAATTTATAAGCAATTCAGAGCAACTGGCTAATTCAAATACTCACAGCCATTAGAATATAGCCGAGTGACTGATTGTTGATTATTTGTGGAACAGTTCTTCTACCCTTCTCTTCTTTTATATCAATTGATACTGCAGGCTTCTTCTTAATCTTCTTCTTAGGCATCACGGCCTGACCATTTTCCAGAATTATCGGTTTCCAATCAATTTCCTCCTCCTCTTCCGATACTGCTTTCTCATTTGTAGTTTCCTTGGGTTCTACTTTATAAAGTTTAGCTGGAAGACAGTAAAATAAATGGAGTTCGTGACTTCAATTATAATCCAAGGGATTGTTGAACCAACCTTGCTCCATCAATGGAAGCACAACAGGAGCACTCTCCAAGCTAAAATCGTCCCCATCATCGATGAAATCATCTCTCAACAATAACTTCAATTTTTTCTCCTCTTCATTTTTATCAAAGTTTTCATGTAAATTGAGTTTGGTCGTTTCTAGAATTTGTTTCCCATCTCTATCATTATTTCGCCAGCCTCCACCACCACCAGTACTTCTGGCAGAGCGTGCAGGACCTACCATTCCTTCCGAAAAAACTCCAGCTGACTAAAAAACCGATGAAAATCACCATTTGTGTCCAATTCGGAGAAAAATAATATCAATTGATAATTATATCATTTGTACTTGAATGAGAACAGGTCCAGACTTTCCTCGACCTCGGCCACGATCAGTGGCACCTCGTCCACGTCCTCTTCCTCCAGTTCTTTGATTGGATTCCGTTTTAATAGCAGATCCATCCCTGAGACCACAAAAATCCGGGAATTACCGTTGACTGTTTTAACGTGAAAATAGCCTGATGAAAATTACTCACTCCTTTTTTTTATTCCTCTGCACATTCAGATTGGGTGCATAAATTTTTTTTGTCGATTTCTCAGTCTTGATTACTCCACCCAATGTTAAATCTCTGGGTAATCTGAATGATGTTAAACGTGTTGTTGAGCTTGGAGTGACATTCGAAGTCCCAGGTTCCACTTTAATCTTGACATTTTCGAACGAAGAATTCTCACTTGTTGATTTTTTCGAATTCATCTTCTCACGCGCGCCTATTAATTTTTAACTACCCGTTAATCTCTAAAGATCTAATTATTCTGCGTGCTACCTAACCTCCAAAAATCACCAACTCAAGGCACCACAATTACCTCCACAAAATCAATGATTTTGGAAAAAATTCAAAGATAATAAAACGCCAATAAAGAGTTGCTCCAAATGGAGTGATGAACTCGAATTAAAATCCACTCAAAAATAACATGCGACCGACAATATCTACGACACGATAATGAGGCACGAGATGAGATTATCACAGCGTGGTGAATTTTAATCAAAAATAGATTAAAAATGAGAAGAATGGTTAGAGTAAAATGACTCTGGAGCAGCTGAAAAAATTGCTCCGAATTATTCGATGAATCGAGTCCTAGCGACAAATCACAATAAACATTTTTTAGAAAAAAAAAATATTTCAATAGTGATGGATGTGCGCATGCGCGCAAGTGTCATTCGAAAAGCCGACACTTGGCGGAGAGATTCGAATCCTTGCACTACGGTAGGTATCAGAGATACCGGTGAGTGCTGCTCGCACGTTTCATATGTTGCTACAATGTGAATTTCATTGAATCACACCGTCATACTGTATTAAAAGTGGAGGATAAACTGCGAAGAAAATATACCAGAGCAATTGTGAATGAAGAAAATCCCATTTCACCGAGAGCCGCCCGATTTAAACGTGAGAATTTGTGTTGTGTCATTTGATTAATTAAATTCAATTAATTAAAATCCCAGAAGACGCGTAATGAATGATCTTTTTCAGTTTCCTGATGGCTAACAAATAGTGTTGTTTGAAATGTTACTAGCAACCCGGATTTATATTCCCACGATATGGTGAACGATTATTGGTGGATGAGTAATGAGGAATGAGCTGATGAATATTCAAATCCGGAAATGAATGGTGTGCGACGTTCCTCCGTCGAATCTTTCGACCAAACAGTACGTATCATTGAGAAAATCATCAAGGTCTCGATTTGTTTTTTAACTGCTTAAGTATTTAGGGACTTATTAGGCAGATTGTTGAGGATTGAGAGTGAGAGTGACACGGCCTTCACGAGTTTAACGTCAATTTCGCACGCGCTAGATAGAATCGTGTACAATTCTAATTCACTGGCTTCAAAGCTCACACGCGAGGGGAGAAAATATGACAAATATTCACTGTACAATGTCACGCACGTGGCTCGAGTGTAATTACATCGTAAATTTTTTTTTACAACGTAATTACTTCCGCCCAAAAATTGGAGGACTATCCGCTCTCGTTCAATTGAAAAAAATCTATTCCATGAATTATCATGGCATCATTCAACTGAAATTTCCTGTTGAATTATAAAATTCCCTGGCATTTCAGAGTTCAAATCCGAGAAATGGAATGGAATTCGTTTAATAATCGATTGGATATAGACGCGGAATTTTTTTTAATGTGTAATATTTAATGCAATTCGAATGTCGTAAGTGACAAAAATAACTGCATTGTTTTTTAAGAAGGTTCTGACCGTGGTGCTCAGCGATGCCGATCGATGACTCATTGAGATTATGATTTCTCAGAGGATTTATCATATTCTTTGTACGTCATTTGCACGCACAATATCAACATTGAAGAAATTATTTTCATGCATTGACTCGAGCGATAACAGGTGATGTCATACTTGTTTATATCCATTTATTTTAACGAGTTCCTTATTTTTCTCGGATTGATAAAGAATGAATGCTGACTATTTTGCAATGTTCGAGGCGTGCGCACGTGTTTGACACGTGGTGGTACCCAATCCCGCCCAGTTTATTTGTCCATTGATTCACGGGAATTCAATTTTTCGGTTGTCAATGAATTTAGTTTTAACCGTTTCAAACGCGGAGGATGTGCAAATTTCCATTGCTTTCACACGAGCAATTTTTTCGCATTAGCAAGAGGAAAGAGGAGGAGGTGGCATCCGGTTTTTGAGGACTAAGCGGATATTTCGTGAGAGGACACTTATTCTTTGGATTATATTACACCGGGAATCTCATCTTTCCGCCATTCTTAATGACCGAATTAAAAAAATGACGAATTCATATCTTCAATCTAATTATTTACTCAACTTCCTGTTTCAATTAATTCCGAACAATCTGCCGATGCGCAGATAAATTTTACACGCCTCAAATGATTGATGAAATAATTAAAAAAAATTATTGATATGACTGAGTGATGAAGTGAGTAGTTTTTCGATTTTTCCCTTCTAAATGTGTTACAGGTAATTGACCGCGCCCTTGGGTTTAGGTTATCTAGGCTGCACCCTTTACTCCGTTTTCACCAGCCCCCCTAACTCTCCATATTTTCGTAATAAAAAAAATATATCCAGACGATAAAGGTTACCCCAGACATTTCCCCACGGAATTAAAATGGGTTGAAACCTTTTACAACAGCATTATCAATTCTCATGAATAGTCAGCCAGACATATGCCTCTATCCAGTCATGAAGGTCAATGAAAGTTAAGTTTTTGTCTCCATTGAGTCACACTGTGCACAAGAACAATCGTCTGGTCTCCCCTCAAAAAAAAAAATATTCATTTTTACCTACAATTACTCATCAAGATGTCTCCCCTTTGATCCTGATTCGAGAAAGTGTAACGCGTCGATGCATTGTACTATTCATTTTCATGTCTCACTGGTTAATTTCACTTACAAGAGAGCTAACGATGGAAAAGGGAGAAAGAGGCATTGATTTTTAGCCACTGAATGGATGAAAATAATGCCATGTATCACTAAAAGGAAACTGTGGGTGGCTTTGTTTAGTTTACGCCTCTTCTCATACAACGCAAATCCTATTTTTACGATTCATCATATCCCTCCATTCAACTACCTGAATCACCAGTTTGACACCTTGATTCGTCTTCTGCTTTCCCATGTACAATTCGCTATTTGAATTCTACGAAAAATACATGGGAACCGGTCATTTCGATTCAATTATTTCCCCTGGATAAACAAAAAATCCTGAGAATGCAGTATAATCTATTCCCCTGATTTCCTATTGAATTGAATTTTAATCCCTATTTTTCGAAATTGATTTGATAATCTGGCGTAAAAATTCATGAAAATTTCTAAAGCTGCTGTTCGCGCCGCGGATTAAATATCAATTACCCTGCTTTATCGACCAGTCGGCAATGTGGGAAAAATGCTGAGCTTATCTCGACTCTCTGATAAGGCATTAATCGCATAAATATACGGCGCCATAAAAAATTGAAAATAGAATACGAATAAAAGAGAAAGTGGATACGTCGAGTGTCGCGGTGTAAAATCTATCCGAGCTAGATATAATTTTCAACTTATAGTTAGCACTCACCGGTAGAAGATTTCCCGCGTGGATTTACCTCAGCCAGGTAGACCTGCTTGACTAGCCTCGTCACCGCATATCTGTCAGTTCGTTGAGCTCTGGAAGTGCCTTTCCGATGAAAAAGATGAGAGGATGAATTTGAATGACCGTGTAGCTGCACCAAATAATTTCCCCAGAAAGTCAAGCACTAGCCGTGGAAAATCTGAAAATAAAACAGAAAAAAAAACAAATTAAAAAATAAATAAATAAATAGATAAATAAAATTGAATGGAAGAGAGGGGGAGAAGGAGAAAGGGTGAACACTGGCTGGAATAGCATGAAAATGAAAATGACGAAAAAGTATATCTGGAGGAGAAGTAAAAAATGAATACGACGAAAGGGAGAAAAGGGGGCGGGAGGGAGGGAGGGAGGGGAGAAATGAAAAGGACGGTTGCACTGGCCACTGTACTTGGGTAATTGGTTTTAGCCGGGTTGTGAGATGGGGAAACCAAGAGAGATAGAGAAAGAGATGAAAGAGAGGGGTCCACAACGCACGTCGAAGAGTGCACACGAGTACGTGAAAGTCAACCGGTGGAGTTTCAGGGTCGCTCTCCTGTGCCCACCTCGTCCTCCTCACTTATTTTTTCTTATACGAACCGAGTCGAGTTGAAACGCGCGGGGGATTTCTGTTCCAATCGTGTCCGCCAACCGAGAGGGATTCGGTGATTCGGCATCGACCACCAAACACCGCGTCGCGAATCAGTGCATTTTATATTTAATTCACCAAACACTCACCAAACTTGTGGACCACATCAATTAACAAGTGCAGGACTATATTATTTGGTATAATGACGTCACGTTTCTGGAATAACTGGACAAAAGACGAGTCGGATGTGCAATCGGCGATTTATCATCACCACGAGGACGAGAGTTGGTCCAAGATCCAGAGGAATGGTAAATCACACGGCAATGTAATAAAAGTTAATCATGAATTTGGCTCTTGGGGGTCTGATGATGTTGAGAGAAACGACACGACCCGGAGACAGTCTAAAGGCAGTGGCTCAATGACAGATGACAATGACAGAGTCATTGGTGCGAGACTGATGAACGGTAAGTCAAGTGCAAGCAACGGTTCAGGAAAACAGGTCAATTGTGCGGATGATTTGTCAGGGATGGAGGATTGCAATGATTTAGCGAGATATCAGCCATTTGGCGAGAGACCGAATGAAAAGAGGGAAAGAAAAACAAGTGGAGTCAAAAGATTTACCAGCAAGATTGAGAATTCCGAGTACAAAGGTATCATTGAGAGTGAGTCGATGAATCGGAGGCATTCAAAGCAGGAGAATCCCTTTTTGCTGAAGGATGAGAGGATAAATGGTAATTTCAAGAGCAGAAGGTCGTCTGGTACAGAAAATGAGAGTATGTTCTTGGGTTTGGCTGGTAAAGGACACAGAGAGGATCCCCATTCCCAAAGATCATCGAGATACACTGAGGATTCACCGGATCGTGAAGTCGAGAATACATTGAAAGATCTCAATGGCAGATGTATGACAAATGATTGCCGAAAGGATTCTGATTTTGAGGTGCAGTTTTCCATGTACGAGAGAGTACCTAAAGGAACGCTTAAGGACAGTGATCTAGTCAGAAAAAGCCGGAAGAATTCGGTGGATGATGAGAGGAGCAGAAAGAGCTCATTCGAGTATCATTACAGGAGTGCTGATGCTGATGACAAGCATTTTCAATCACCACCATCATCACCAACCAAGCGAGAGTCTTTCTACGACAGAGATACCGCTGATAATTCATCATACCGAGGTGCTAACAGAGATCATCACACGAGAAATGAATCGTGTGAACGCGACAGTGAATATGTGAGGGGCAAATGTGATGTTAAGATGCTCAATCGACACTCGAGACCGCTAACACCACCTACAACACTCGTTGATCACGAGGCCAGTAATAATTATATGATAAATTCACGTGTCTTTTCCACGAAAGATCCCTACGATGATTTTATCAGAAATAAAAACAGGAATAAATCACACCGCGATTCCCGCGATTCCCGCGATTTGTCGTGGATTGATAGAGAATTGTCATGCTATTCGGACGACCAGTCACCAGAACCTGAGTCCAGCAAGGGATTTAGTGACAATCGTAGGGCAAATCGAAACGGTGATTTCTCCACAATCGAGAGAAATGGAACGACTGTGATCCGAATTAGGGCGAGCTCCAGGAGTCCTGTCACCCGAGATGAGAAGACATTCGATCATCGATTGGCGCGAGATGATTCAGATAAAATACCCAGGCAATTCATCGGGGATGACGAGGACTCTGACGACTACGAGGATTTTTTCAACAATCGGAAGAGAGAGTCACATCATCCTCGTCATCATGATTCGGTATAAATAAATTTCATTAAGAATTCGCGTCTCTTTTTTAGTCGCAGTTCAATAACCGAAAATTCAAATTGCACGTCTTTCGCAATTATGATGCCTACAAACATCGCGTACATTGGTTGATGCTTCAATATGCGAGGGACAAGAAAAAAAAAAGAGAAGAATAAAAAAATAATGAACGAACAAACCACCCACTCGTATTATACACAGAGACATCGCGTAGGATATACCGTAGTCACACTTGTGCCAGACACGTATGAGAGATATTTCCTATCGTGTGCAACTTGCTCGGCCAAGTCGCCGTTATAATCGATGGATATGTGAGAAAGTGTCGTCTTCCCTATCCCACAAGTGCATAAATCTTAATGTCCATTACTCTTTTTTTCCCCTCGGTTTTTCTCACGTTACCGTCACTGTCCCATGGGTTTTCCATAAATAATTCAATAAATAAAATTACCTCTTCACTCCGTATGAACTCGAAAATCATCTAGTCGATATTTGGACATGTCCAGAATAATATACGTCAATCGAATCCAGTCCACGTGGGTGCACAGCCCATATTCGACTGGTTGTCCTCACGTCTCTCACTGTTTTCAACACATTGTTTACATCACCGAATGTCTTATCCCCTCTTGTTGTCCCTTATTCCGAGAATTTTCCGTGAACGCAGAAAGCCAATGCCGTGAGACGTGAGGCCATCCATTTTTTCTTATTCTCATTTATATTTTCAATGGGTTAAATTTTCTGTTTTAGACCGTGCAAATAACAGACCTTGAGGATGGCCAGCCGTGTTTACTGTGCGGCGAGACTTGTCCTGGTTTTTCACCGCATAACTGGCGGTAAGGGTAATGCAACGTATAATTAGTTTAAGAGGTAATCGTTGAAGTTAATCGTCGAATTTATTCTAGTTTATAGTCCGTGTTTAACGCTCAATAAAGACAATTTCGCTTCAATTCGCTATTGACATGGGGTCAACCGTCCTGAGGCGATACTCCGAGAAAGAATTGTTTTTCACAGAGAAGATTTGACTGGCGCAATTTAAAAAATTTTTTTCTCTTGAATAATTTTCTGGAGAAGAAAAACCAAAGGTTTGCGGTGACCTTTTTCGTGGATTATGTGTACACTTGGCGAATGTAAACGAAGAGAGTAGGGCAGATTGGAGTTGGCTAACTCAACACTGGGTGAGACATCACACACGTCTTATTCGTGGGTGAAGTTGCAGTTATTGCCACGTGGTAAAGTGAAGAAAAAATAAATAAAAGCAGCAACACTTCACGATATGAACTGCAGTTTGAAAAATGCTAATTGAGTGAATATGGTGGTCGTCACCGTTGGGGCAATTACGTCTACCTTGATTGTAGGATAATCGAGTAATTTTTTTTTTCCTCATCACTTGCGCATTTTCATTCAGTCCTTGGGAATGCGCTGTCCCGTCAAGTCTGAAATTGCGTTTTTTGACTCGCATTTCACACTGAAAGACAGTGGTTTCAAGTGTTTTCTCGAAAGTGCATGGTGAACAGTGTTTTTACTGATGACGCTGAACACACAGACGAGTTTTCAACGAGGAGTGCACATGACACTGCAGTTTTTTACTAAATTGCTGAATATATTTGATGCGTGAGGCATTGGTAATACATTCCTTTGTAGTCTTCGTTTGTGTTTGCCTCCTACATTCTGAATATTCTGGGGATGACATCAAAGGTTTTCTCGCTTTTGTCAATTGAAAATTCGCATTTTATCCAGTCGCTCTTCTCAAGTCAAGAAATTCCAAAACCCATGGTTTTTTTTAAATCAGATATAATGAAGCGCTCTGTTATTGGCGAATATCGGCCAATTAGGCAGCCCTATCAGAATTGCCCGACTCGATTCCACCGTTATCAGTGACGACAGTGACTAAATATATTTATGATAAAACACGGTACATAGTAGTTAGGCATTACTGGATACGAAACCTTGAGGAAACCCACTGATAAACCTAGACTCTCAGACCACTTGAGTTCCTCCACATTCTCACGACATGAGTTTTAAAAATTCACTTTCATTCGTATCATATCGTATCGTCCGATCAAATGCTAAAATTGAGTGCTCTATAATCTCTAAACGACGATAACTAACCACCAAGTTTCATTAATGCTAATTGCCAATGGATTTTAAATCTGCAACATGAATTTTGGGGATGATAGGCTGCACATTGTGAACCTGGTGAGCCGTACAAGTTGTGAATTTCAATATCCGTCTATATTTAGAATGTGATCATCACTATATGGCGCGCTATCGCGACTCGAATGGGATAACCAAACGACCCACCGCGACAAAATGGAATAAAACGAGTTTTGGTGTTACTTTTAGTATGTTCTAGTCGGTATTCCAGCGCCATACTGAAATTTTTTCGCTTCTCCGATGAATCAAACTGTTGTGAAAATGTCGGTTTAACTCTACCCCAGATTCACGAGAATTCAATAATTTTTGTGAACTCTAAGCAGGCCGAATTGTGTGTGAAAACAGAATAACCATTCACAAGTGGATACTAGTGTCTGAGTGGATTAACGCTGGTTGAATGAATGATGGGGGCCAGATGGGAGGCGAGAAAACACACGACTATTGTTCATGATGCCGTAAATGCGTACGATGGAGATGACGAGGTTGAGGAATGTTGTAAATCTACGAGAGTTGATGGAATTGGGTGAGTCTTGCGATCTCACAATATGCACTTTGAAATTCATTGAAATTCCGTTTAAAACGTGACAGTTATCCCGATTAGACTGACACTGAATCAGATTTATACTTGTCATATAACGAGTAGAGAAAACCGATTAGTTCATGAAAAAATCTTTCGAGATAAAAATTCTAGAGCGTCCATTGAATTTGAGACATTTGCAGCGATAACTGCACTCTGACAGTTGGTCAGAGGCAGCCGAGCAGCTGATAAGGCCTTATTGATTTGAGATAGCAGTTCCTAAGTTTCTCGCTATGACAAGTGAAAAAAAAAAGAACTCGAACGAAATGAGCCGTTGGAATCGGCGTGTTGGAGTGTGAATAATCAAGCCACCCAAGAAATATGCTTTCAAAATGTGTTTAATGACCGATATTTATATTTCGATGTTTCACCCAACGGCAGAAAAGTGAAAGTATCGCATTGAATGTAACGCGTGGTGTCTCAATCGCTTTTTCGTTTTTTCTTTTCCTTTTTTTCGCACACATATCTATCGACACGTCATACTGAAAGAACGGACAATGGCACATGCAATGCAAAACGCTCAGCGAAGGTCGTCTCACGTGCAATAGATGACGTTTGTTAGTCTCACTCTATATCATCTTCGCGCTTTTTTTCTCTTATTTTTTTTTCCCTACATCATTCTCCTCGGGTACACGAAGTGGAACTTTGGAGCTGAAGTGCAGCTGGAAGGACGCGTCAGTCGGAATGCGAACGCGAATGATTCTAGAGTAGTTTGGACAGTTGGATAGAGTGCGGTCAACGAGTGGACTTGATTCATCTGATATGCGTTGCCATGCATAATTGAAGATTTATAGCTAACAGCGAGCAGATAAGACAACAAGCTCTTTGTGATAAGTTGCATTCACTTTGTCTCTCTGGTCTCTAGATCGAATGTCGTGGGATTTATTGGAAATAATTTTTTAAAACCTCAGGCATCTCTGTGGTTGAAGGTGGGGGAGGGGGAGCAAATTCCTTAGCTATCTCATCGCTAAACCGATTATTCGAATTCGATTTGCGGTATCTGGCGCAAAGAGTGGGAGAAGTGTAACTCGGTGTCACAGTAACGACTAGTGGGAGTTCACTGGGATTTATCGTCAACATTAGAGTCTCGTCTACACATTGTGAATGACTGAAAGTACCGGAAAATGGTCTGGGACGATGGGTTATCGGTGAGGGAAGTGAACGAGGAGAAGAAAAAAACAGCCAAGTTTCCGTCGAGGGAGAGAAATTTTGCGGTGAGACGACGTGGACCTAGACGAACTGTTTCAGTACGAGAAAGTGGAGTATCGCTTTGTGATAATATGAGCGGTGACGTTAATTTTTGTCGGTCTTGCTGTAATCCCCAGCCGCCTACCGTGTAAGAAAATATTTTTTTTACTTCTGTAGAAAAGAAAAAAAAAACGATGAGAGATAAAGAGGGAATAACTCATCACCCACTTCCCTCATCGCGTCACTGGTAGTACAAGGCTATGAACCATTTGATGAGTCATTAAGACATTAAACTGTGATTCAAGTCGAAACAGAAGGTCCTGTCAGTGCGAGCAAAGAGTAAACATTCATCGGAAAGTGAATGTTTTATACTGCGGCATAAAAGTCGGTGAAACGGCTATCGAAATGAATGATTGACATCATTCACCAGGCCTGTCATATAACTGAATATTTTTAAAATGAGATAGGGTGAAAAAAGTGTCCCGACAACATCTGGAAGCCCTACGATCACTTTTACAGTATTCTGTTTACGTAGAAATAAAAATTCACCTTATTTTAAGATTTTGCCATAACAACTCTCAAAATAAAGATTCATTTTATTTTCGTGTAGTTGTTTTTTTTTTACTTTTTTTTTTCGTGTAACCTGAGGTACGGTGCCCTTTACCTATTAGTATTGCTGAATGAACGAGCGGGTTGGGATTATTTTCTCAGTCTCTCGTAAATCACAACAGCAACTACAGAAACTTGAAATCAAGCCCAGACCGAGAAAATGGTTTATGAGCCATACCATCCTCTCATCTCATGATAATAAATTTCTAAATATACCCTCAAATATTCGGTAACCACATCCCATTGATGAGGCATTAGATGATCTAAATTGTCATCAGAAGTTTAAACTTCCACGTGACAAATTCCTATTCTAGCCTAACCACTGGGAATAATTTATATTAATCAATGGAAATAAACAAAGTAACATTAACAGAGGAAGTGACACTATTCAATTGGCGTTCATCAAGGCGTGCAATGAATATGAAATTTAACCCAACTCGCCCTTCAGTCAACACCGCAAACCACTCGTGCTTTCCACTGTCAAGGCAATCGTCGAGAAGTTCACGGGGACTTGTGGATTAACGATATGACAGACCAAAACAGCTTATGAATGGATTTATAGCATCTCCATCGGCTAAAATAATTCTCGACCCCTAACTACAAATTTTCGTTGCTCCACATGCTATACTGGGAGTCTTTTGAACATTGGAGGGAACGAACCGTCAAGTCTCTGCCAAACAGCCATCACGTCATGTCATAATCCCCACCTTGGCCTTACAACTACGCCGAGATTTTCAGCTCATCGCTTTCATGTGTGAACGGAACTACCCGAGCCTCTCAACTTCTCACTCCTCTTATTAACAAACTTATTAGATTCAGTCTAACTTACGTAAACCCAGCGTGCACCATCCACCAGTTCCAGTCTCCAGAAAAAATTATTCCAAGGTCGTTATCTCCACTGCTGCCCTGTCATACCGAAATTCCGGTTGCCATCACCATCTCCTGCATTTCCATTGAAATTTGCGTGCATCAGCTGTCGGAGCTGCCATTCAGTCACTGCAACAAAAAAAAATTAATTGTTTAATTTTCAGCATGCAACTGTGATTTTGACAGGAGCAGGTGAATTTGAGGAGAAATTTAGCTCCGAGTTTCGTTCCCTGTGAGAAACAAAAATAGGAAATGGGGGAAAAATGATAATTTATCTAAAAACTGCAGAGATGACACCGCGTGTCGTGAGTTTTAACATCGAAGCGCGTGCGCGTCTTTAGCCCACAGGTTTTCCGTGTGTATAGGTATTCCAATCTACGTTGTGGCGGTATGGCGCCAGTTTGAAGTAAACTCCTTCTGCGGATGCACTCTTTGATATTTCGTAAATCCCATTGTAACCTAGATCAAGTACCATCGCCCGAGCTAGTGATTAAATTTTGCATAATGTCTGATTAATCGCACAGTGGCAGTGTCAAGCGGTTAAATCGGTCTGTCAGAGGTGTGAGTGGGTGAAGCTTTCTCAAAAGATGCAATATGCATGAAATTTTTCATTGTCATAAATCACCGATGGAACGTTTAATAATTGTTGATTAATCAGGGTGATTTATCGTGGAGTGAAATAAATGTTACTGAACAAGTGCGAAACTATTTTAAACGCTGACTATTACAGTCTCTTCGTACATCGAGTATTTATCTAATTAATAGCCATTAGCCAGAGCTACCGATCCCCCTTGTTCCATTACCGTACAGCAGATAGACACTAAAGTGAGAAACGTAGGAGGTAACGTGGCCTCTTTTGATAACACCTGCGCGATATTCCTCGTGTCATTCTCAAGTTTTTGCATGAAATTATATTTATTGTTTCACCGTCAAGTGTATTCTTACATTTAATCAAATGGCCTGCTTTTATTTTTAACCCCCAACGAGAAGTGAAAAAAGGTCATTGGTAATTCTGAAATACAAAGAGCTCTATCTCACATGTCAGATGTATCAATGATAATTCACCCGGGGAACATCGTAAGGCACTCCAATTTTATTGAGTTGAAGTAAATGTATATCTGAGGGCGTTGGATCTTCACATTTCATTCCAAGGTCGTTACTTAACAATTTCCTAGAAGGAAAGAATTTATCGAAATTGATTGGCTGTTTAATTCAATCTCTTTGATGTCATCCCACCAGTTATAAATCGATTAATCAAACTTTTTTTAAATTTTTTCTTGTGCTGAGTAAATCCTTATTGTGAAAAGTAGTTTTTTTTTGCCCCAGTGTAGAGGAGTGAATACGATGAGAGACGGTAGTGTCGAGACTATTAGAAAAATATAATGAAAATAGAGAGAGAAAAATGTTGATGTGAGGAATAGAATTATTCACACTGAACGGTCGACTGCAGAGGCGTCATACGACGCCAATCCTATTGTCAGGAGCAGGCACAAGAATGAGCCCAAAGGGTCAGGGTATTCAGGATTCACCAAAGATGGAGGTGAGGGTGTCCTGTGTTGCTTCACCAGGCGGTGAGCCACAAGGCATACGTGTAAAAATTCCCGAGCCAAAAAAAAGACCGGTTAGTCCACCCTACTGTCGCGACACGATGCGCACAAGGTGTCCTTCTGTTCCTGAAAAGGATTTATACAGGAAAACATCGTCACTCGATCGTCGTGAAAGGTATACGACCTTGTCTGGTGCTGAAATAAAGCAGGGAGCTAAATCGGCAGACGGTTTACCAAGGAGCAGGAGAAATCCAATGTTGGATAGAAAAAATCGTTTTCCAACGATATCAGGGGCTGAATTGAGAAGAGGTGTTACCATTGGTAAATGTCACCTCGATGAAGGGCTTGATCTCACTCTGGCACCTTGGCCTGGTATGAAATGGGCCTGTGTAAGGGTTCTACATCTTTACTGTAAGGTCTTCGATCAATTTGAGCTATTCGAGCTCATTGTTAGGTAATGAAAAATTGCAACCAAGAGAAATAGAATTAAGTCAAAGATATTGCACAATCGTTTCAAAGCATCTAGTTTTAATTTGCCCGCAATGTTTACCGTAAATACATGAACGTGCTTTATTACCCTGCAAATCGGATTACTCTCATTTAGAATATAGATCCGGTTGAAAGGGCGCAGCCATTTGTGCCATGCCCCCCTTGCACATAATACCACTTCTAGTTATTATCTAATCGATACTACATCAGTCTTTATCTATTTATTCTTCCCTTTTCCGAGAAGCTGAGATATATCTGCCACGAACTTTTCGTTATTAATTTCAAGACTTTTAATTAATCTTAACTCTCACTGGGATCGTTTAAGGATCGAGGGGGGACCCCTTTGGAACTCTCATCAACTCTCTCTCGAAAATTTCAATTGAGGTGTCGACATTACAGACTTACCCCCAATCCCCTTTGAACGGGTGTTAAACCTCATTAAATAGTGCCACCCCTGGGACAATTCCCTGAGCTATCGTACAGAGGAAATCTGGATATAACGAGTTCTCTGGGGAACATTAACATTTCCCTTTTATACATCCATGAAGTCATTGCAAATGTTCTCTTTAACGTAGTACCCTCGAAATATTTTCATCATGGGAATAAAAAATCAAGACTTCAATTAATTAATGAGGAAATAAATTGCCTTGACATTATCGAGGTAAGATGAATTTCCGGGGAATATAATTACGATGTATCCCTTGGCTTAATGTCCGCGTGCGTCATTTAAAATATGTAAAGAGAAAGGAATGATGTCGGGCGATGTTCCAGACTTTTGATAGACTTATTGATATTATGCTCCCACTGTGTTGTAATTTTCCTCGACAAAAAATGAGCCTCACAATCTCACGAGGGACTAAAATATATTTACAACACCACGTGTCCGGTGAGTGACAGGTGCCCCCAGAAATCCATCAACAAGTGTCGGAATCTTTAGTGCCGATTACTTTTCGGTAAATGAAGGTGGAGGTAAATTAATCCTTCCAGATGATCCATATCTCATGGACAAAGAAAAAAAAAATAGAAATTGGTCCGTTAAAATGATTTGTGCGATCGAATCATTCTAGTCCCACGAGTTTTCATTAGATTAAATCCGATAGAAGGTCGCACCCGGTAGCATTTAATGCATTTTGTTGATGAATCTCGATAAAATCTGAGATAAATATCCTGGGTAGTGCGTGCCGAGGGGATCCCCTCCGAGACCCTAATATTCCCAAAATAAAAGCACAACATTGTATGCGCTGGCTAAAAATAAGGGAGGAAAAATATCGCAACCACCAATGGCGTCCGAGATAAATTTTTATGAGAGAGCGGTAACGCCTAATGAAAGGTGCACAAGTAAATATTGATCACTACCCTATAAAGCGGTCTGTAATTTCCACGAGCCATCACCGACTATTTGGTTGAATTGAATCGATAAATAATGACGTGGATGATCTGAAAAATTTCCAGGAAAAATTGCACGAGCTGTAAATGTCCAAAGGAAGCCCACGATGTGTGTCACGAGGAGTGGGTGTCGGTACGGGCACGTTTGGGCCTCAAAGGCGATGGGACGAACAATTACGTTGGCTTCGAACCACGTGAAAGGGGACTGGCATGGGCACCACCAGGTCTACCACCAAACAAGGTGATCAACTCACTCAATTAACTCTCTTAATTCATCCTAATTTTCAACCTAGTCACTGCCTTCCATAAACGTGCACGAGGCATCCTCCAAATCAAATAATCCAAATAACGGCTAAACCAAAAGGTTTTTGCTAAAAACATTTGACATCACGAGTCTGAAAATAAATTTCCTTTCTTTTTGGCTGCAAATAATCAAAAGAACCGGCCCCCACGCATCGCGATGGTACACTAAACAAAACGACAACCGTTTAAATAGAACATCAAAAGATTTTTCGCTGCACGAACTCCCCCGCTGAATACCCCAAACACGTGACTCTGGGATTTTTTTAGTAAACATTTGATAAATTGGTTAATGAAAGAACGCGTTAAAAAAATTTTTCGGGGATAAACGAATGCACGATGTGTTCACCCGACTGGCTCTTGGACTCCCGCCAGAGTTCAATATATCGAAAATACGTCATAACTCGAGTGTAATGTGCATGTGACACCGTAATGACTACCGCAAAGCTACGGTCTTTTATCGCCAATAATTCTATTTAGCCTCAACGATATTAATGACCATGTGCACTACCGCAATTTGATAATTTACGATTGTTAATGCCCGATCTGGTTGAGTGGTAGTACCAGCTCCATGCCAAATAATCAATCTCAATTTTTTAACGTAAACACAACGATTGGAATGAGTGATAATAACGATGAATAATACGAGTGCTGGTTGCCAGGTGGAGGAGTACTTCTCAATGTTACCAGAAATATCAGTACCGAGACTTGGTACTCAGGGGGAGCGTCACAGGGATCGCCAGTTGTCGACCCAATTACCAAAACAGGATTTAGCAAGGGCATACTGCAGACACCTGGATCCTCAGCATTCAGCAAGTGCTGATGACTTTATGGCAGCTAGAAATGAGATTGCACTTGACATAGGAACTGTTCAAGAAGTCTTCGAAAGAAATCAAGTGAGTTGGATTGGTTGGAGTGATGATCCAAAAGCAAAAGCCCAAAAATTCGCGGACATGCCATGAAATGAGATAATCTTGATGATAACGATATGAATTATTTCAGGAATGTGGTGCCTGCCACGAACCCCTGAAGTACGGGAGCCTGGTGGTAATGGCCAGTAAACGCGGACAACTTTATCACCCCGTGTGCTTTAAATGTACACATTGCGACGAATTGCTCGTTGATCTAGCGTATTGTGTTCATGACGATACATTGTACTGCGAGAGGCACTACGCCGAGGAGCTCAAGCCAAGATGTGCAGCTTGTGATGAGGTAATTTATCATTGATTCCATCATTAAATCGCTATAATACGTCCCAAAGATCATTGCACATAAATTTGATATCATGCGAGGGATAATTTAGGGGGATGATGCCAGTAGAGGTCAGACTCGTCTGATTATCTCTTGACTGAAACTCCTCCCTGAATTATCCATTGCTTGAGCTCTTCTCTATCGGCCTCAACTGGAATCATCACTGCTTTTTCAATCCTCCGAATGGAGCGCTTGAATCTCACACTATTAATAAAAAGATAACTTCGAAATTTGTAAGACTTCAACATCGAATGTACCTTATTAAATTTGGCAGCGGAAAATTGCTGAATTTTTGGAAAACCTATAGTAATTTCTATGTAAAGAACAAACGAGAATATTCAATTATTTTTCCTAGCCTTTACAAGAAACGCAACTCCTACCCACTGTTTACCCCGAATAAATATTTGTTATTTGCCCTGCGTTTTTTTTTTTTCAAAAAAAATTATCCTACGAGGCCATCGGCTTGTGTACTCGTCTCGTAAAAACGGAAATGGCATTGCGGACAACGCGAGGTGCAAATTCTAGATTGCCTTCGGTTCAGCGAGAATTAGAAAAACATCTCGAAATATCAGTGGAATTATGTGAATAATAAAGCAATGTCGTGGTTAACTAGTTTGTCGCGGTCGTCTGACGGATCTGCAAGTGGGCCACATACGGTCTTTATTTAGATTGTTCTAAAATAAAATTTAGGGGATCGAGAGATGAGAAACTGCGGAATATCTCACCAATCTCCTGAGCTCCAGGGACAAATGCTTTATGCATCATGAGACGGGACTTTTCTCATTTATTCGGCTCATCGATTGAAGCTTTTCCCACTTGTGGTTACGTTTTTATTTTTTATTTCTCTCCCCCGCCCCTCACCTTTCCTCACCCCGCTAACGGTAATCTATCTTCCAATTTCCGGGGAAAATTGGCGGCTTGGTTTTGATCCAAAAGGAAATTCTACTACCTTCCGTTCAACATCAAATACTTGCCTCGGTAATATCTATTTTGAATTCTACATATTCCCACCACATGCGGAATACTCTGATCCATCCAGAGCCGCTTCTTTTGCCGATTATTTAGAGCCAGTCATCGAAAAGTCTCTCAACAAATACCGAGTCCATTAAATCTTTCATACCACTAATTTTATTTATTTGACACTTCGGTAAGTTCTTAGATTCATTGAATCGGCCAAAAGCTTTACCATTTCCTTTAATTATCCATTTATCCCGAGAAGTACCGATTGAATTCCCCACAGAAAACGCCTCATGATATTTCCCATTAAATAAAAAAGCATGCAAACTTTTTTGTCAGCTTTTGTCGGCGCATACCTCAGTCACTTAAAATCGACAGTTTATTGGCGAATAAAAATAGATCATCGGAATAAAAATGGGGCATTCCACCCACTTACATCCATTAATCTTGTCAAAAAATTCAAACACATGGTGAAAATATAGAATTTCCACTGTGCAGTCGGATAATTCAAACGGTTCTATTGCACTCGAGATAAACTAAATATTTGATTTGCCTTCTGAAATTGTTTCGTTAAACAAGCGTGATTTTACAACACGGAATCCTAACACCTGGTACTGTGTGTTACCGTGTCAAGGACGAGTCAATGCGGAAAAAAGGGGTTTGCACTGTTCACGTGATGAGATCGCGTGTAAAGGGACTTTGGGGTCAAGTGGTTTTAAACTGGAAGAAATAAAAATCTGTTGGGTTCGTTTACACTGGATTTTTTTTTCTAATTTCCATTAACGATATCACGTGAATTCCCAATTCAACTCAATTTCAGAATTCAATTGCACGGTAAAATTGCTGAAAGTTCATGTCAAAATTGGTTTTCACGTTGAAAAATTGACAGGAGCATGTGTTCTTGTAATGAATAAATCCGCTTGGTCGACAGTATTTTTTTCTGTGAGTTTGGCACGGAAATAATTGAGTTGGATGGTGTTGGATATCTCATAGCTAATGCTAAGGGTTGCGAGTACAACGAGCCACACATTCTTGGTATTTGCACTTGACCATTATACCACCAATGTCGCATGCCGGTTTTCCAATTATTTATTTCGAGAATCGAGCGGATGGTGTCAATTCTAATAAATCGAAATGGAAAAGAGGATCACTATAATGGCAGTTCGATGAAAAAAAAAACAGTCGGAGGATAATCGAGTTTTAAAGAGGACGTGTCAATTATGTCGAAAGGATATTTAGGATGAACCTTCCCTGATTTTTCAACCTGTCTCAAGTGATTTTGTTTGAGCCGAGTTATTTCCTACCCTCGACCTGAGTGGATTACAAATATAATTCTTATCGCGAGTTCGATAGATTCTCTCCCCGTTGAAAACCGTCTGCCCAATATCTGGCGTAAAGCCAGATTTTTCGTACCGAGCGCAAAAGCGCGTATGGATGATGATCGTCTGACGTCGACACGTAACCGATGATGAAGTAACCGAAAATAAAATACTATCCCAACGCCCTAGCGAACATTCATTCGTACCGGTTGCCCGACAATACGATTAAACGACTCAGGAATTCGATACTCTCTCTGAATGATCAAAGCCAAACAGCCAAGTTATTTCGAGAACTTGGTATTGCCGTTGAAGATCTGTCGCAGCGGATAAATGAAACATTCTGTTCAACAAAGTTCACCTGATTGAAGGAACTGCTCCTCCGACACGCACACAACATCAAAGAGAAAAGTATGAGTTGTCAGAATGAATTCGATTGTACACGTAAAAGTCTTTTGGAACACGGTCACGAGATTGACAGCTGCCAAGCCTCGTAACCCATTAATTAATTCGGTAAATTATCGATTGACTTGTGGTCGTAGCCTTAAGGACATTTGCTCATTCAGGGACACCCTAATTTTAGCGGATAGCCCCGGGATGTGCGTTTGGCCCCGTGTCATCGTCATCATCTAGCCGAAATACGCAATCGTAATACTGACAGAGTGGAGACCTGTGTAGCCCAGTTATACATTCGATCTGACTTTGTGAAGGAACAAAACTCAAATCCAAATCAGTTGTGGCTCGTGACTTATATTAACCGGGTGCAACCGGCCTAAAAACTAATTACTAGGTGATGGAAAATGATTGACAATTGAATCTCGAATAATGACGAGAGGAGGATGATGGGGATGGTGTTTCGTTGGGAATTGGCGCTGGTAGCGATGCTCGCTAAATCATGAAATAGCTCATAAAGCTGTGTTGGAATTATCTAAAGTCCGTCTGAAGATGTGGGTGTAGACGACTTACGCAATTCAGCACCTGTGTCAACGTGCTTTTTCCACTCAATCATGTGAAGTTACAACCGGGCATTCATAATTTTCCATCAATTACAATTAATGAAGTTGATTAATTCCAAAAAATGGGCCTGATGCTGTCCATTCTCGTTGGTTGCGTGGGTGTCATTGAGCTGCTGACTGCTCTGAAACAGGTAACCACTGATGCTGGAGCTTCACCAGCTCCATGTCTGTCCTATCATGACTCCGTCATCGAGACCCCGAGCTTTCATGATTCAATATGCGGAATTACCCACTCGGGGGACATCAGGATGCCCCGAAGTGCGAGAAATAAACTGGAGAATCTTCACGAGTATAGTATTAGAGTAAGAAGTGAACTGAGATGTCATGGTTATGGGGATGGCTCGACCCTTTCAGAAATCAGCAGTCGAGATGCCCTGGGATTGTCCCGACCAGATTCCCGTCTCAGCATGGACTTTGATCATGACGTAATCGAGGGTGAAGTCCAACAGACACTTGATGGCGGTGACAAATCCGTTGAAGAGGTCATCAGACCAGAGTGTCCTCTGACCCTGACATCAGTATTACCTCAGAAGCCTTCAGCTTCGCATTCTTCTACTGAATTCACTGGATCATTCAATGATTCAGAGGACGATTTGGATAGCAAAGAGTGTTTCGACTGTCAAGATGATGATCGTAATTACTCGTCCTCAGCGAGATCTTCACTAGAAGAACATGCGGAAATAACCAGAAGACTGCGTAAGAAAAGAGTGAAGAAGAGCGAACCGAAATCAATGGATTTACTTATGGACACTATTCTGCTTCAGGGAGATCTTCTGAATAGCGAAGAGACTCGCATGATTCATTCTGAGAAATTCGAGGGATTGTCTTCGTCCCATAAACGTCCGAGAGCCCAGAAAAGCGGAAGTGCGGTTTTACGAAAGCCAACGAGACTGAAATCGAGGAATGCCGAGATCAGTAAATCAGCTGAAAATCTTTCCCGAAAGGAAACAAAACGTCAGCGTGATCCCGATCGGAGGAAATCAGATATTTCGGTGCAGACGCTGGGAAATTATTCTTTCCGAGACGAATGGACCAATACATCACCGACTGACAGTGAGGGGTCGATATCGGCGAGTAGATCAAGTGTTTCCGTCCACGTGCAAACGAATTTTGACGGAGACGATGAATTCACGTTCGAGGCACTTCGATCCAAGGGCATAAGGGATATTGGATTGAAACAGAGGAACGGTAGAAAATCATTCCGGAGTAAACGTTTTCCAAAGTCACGCTCACTCGATGATCCAACTGTCAGTGAGGTGAATTGTCAATATGACCGGAATATTCCATTGTTTGAAGGGCATTGTTCAGACAACCGGAGAGTCCAACCATTTGGCAATTCTGCGGTTGGATTAAACGACGAGTTTTCGCAGTTGTCACTCGATAATGGAGATGAGTCGATCGATGAAGAGTTTTTGGATGCCGAAGATGTGGATCAACTTCGAAATGCACCAATTCAATACTGCATACCCCATAATCAAGAGAGCAACAAAGCGTTTTGGGTAATTTTCGATATTTTTTGTCTTTCTGGTGGAATTTTATTGATTGCATTGGAATTCTATTGTAATTCGTTGGTTTGCCTTTTAATATCATTAGCCACGGTAAATACTGATGGAAACAGACAAAGGGAAAGTACACAATATATCAGGCAATAATGATCACCGTAATTAATTGTTTTGTACTGTTGACGTCAACTCGTGTAGAAAATAATACATTGAAATTTGGCCAATTTCCCCGTGGCTTCATGCAGGAGACAATCAATCGTTGACTCTGTGAGATAATAGTCATGAACGTATAAACTATTGACGCATAAAATTACTCAGTGAGTCAATAGGTTATGAAATATTGTAATTGTACATTCATTGCTCGAATTTCACAGGTGATCCCCTTGATTTTGGGGACACAGGGGACAAATGAGGGATTTATTGGCACAATTGAACCGAATATATGCGGAATCAATGGTCGCTCAATAGAGAATTGCCATTCGGCATTTTTTGGAGATAATATCTCCCCCCAAAAATTCAAAATTCCAGATAAATTGGAAGAAAAGCTCCTTCTGTACCGATTTTCTCTGCCCGAAAACTAGAAACACCTCTCTAAACCACTGTTTAATCTCCACAAAGTCACAACTTCTCCTCCCATAAACGACACGCATTTTGTGGTGCCGTGTGACTCTCAAAAGCGTCACGTGGGGAAGACTAAAATATCAATCTCCCCACGTTAGCGATTTTGGGCTAATCAAGACAAAAAAAAAACCTTCATTCAATCCAGGATTTTTCACCGCTAAAAATCGGCAAATCCATTGAGAGATTTTTTTTTCGTCAATTCAATTTTTAGGGAGAAGTTGAAAAAAATGGAAATGGCGTAGGGCCCCGAGACATTGGTGATGCGTGGAAAATACCGACCCACTTAGCATGGCATTTTCCACGGTGAGTGGTTAAAACTCAACTCGTTTTATTCCCCCATCATCCACCCACTGTGTTTCAACCTCCACCCGACAGATCGTTTGAAAAAACCACCTGCTTGGCACAGTATCAAATCGACGTGTGCTCACCCATCGCTCGTTCATCCTCTCCAGTCCTCCCTTCCCCATTAACCCTCCTATATCGTTGGTGATGTGCGAAAAAATTCCAGTCCACTTGTTTACGCTCGTCCCCAGGCTCACACCAATTTTTTATGACTCCGTTTTATTATTAATCCCCGTAAATAACGATTTTGTAACCCGAGTCAAGTACCGTATAATACCGGGGTCGGGCTATTCTTGCAGGAGGCCGTATAGAATAAGAGAGCAAGGGTGGGGTTGTAATATCAAATCTGGAATTCCTCGAGACACCAGTGGAATGACTTAATTAAGACCACCATCGGCCCAAAAATACATTTGACTACAGAGATCCTCTGGGATTTTAGTCTTTTGACGATTGAAAAAAATTACGTAATGAATTTGATGGATCTGGTGGTTCCATTCGGTTCCATTGGGATGTTAAAAATGAAGAAGCTCTATAATAATCTATGTTCTCCCATTCGGTGGTCAGAGAGAATTCTTGCACCCGGCACACTTGCATCACCCTGACTCCACCACGACTTCTCAAATCCGAGGAAGATGGGTGAAAATTGGGTAGTGGTGGTAAACGCCAGTCTCTCCCAATGGATGAATAACGTAAGAAGAGAGGGTAGAGGTACTATTTTGCGTGACGAGGGGTAATGAGAGGAGGGAGAAAATATTCTGGAGTCGTCGGGACGCCGAAAATAGCGTCCCGATATGAGATGACGCCCAGGTCGGTTTGTTCCTAGATTTCAGTCAGTTCGCAAACTTCGAAAGCAACGCGGTTTGCTCCCGAAAAAAAAGAAAAAGAGAGAAAGAAAAAGAAAAAAAAATTCACCACCCTGTTGAAAAGAGTTAGCCACCCCCGAAGTTCCGGTCCGGCCTGTTGATTGTTTGATACTTCTGTTTGATTTAACTTCATTGAAAGATAATTAAAGACAATGGCGGATGTAGACAGCAGTGTTGTGTTCACCACGGAGCGAAAAACTCGCAAAGTGAAGAAGACGACGAAACGCAGGGAGAGCCACGATCAGAACGCGGAGGTCACGATCACGGAGGTCGACAACACCCCCAACAACCACACCGCCATCGACGAGTATGTGCTGGCTGAAGGCAACACCGTTTTACCCCATTTTTTTCTCCCACAAAAATTACTCCTCCCCCAATTCATCATCCCACGGTGAAAAATTTGTTATTGCAATTGCAACGAATTTTTCACCGTGCATATAAAAATTTGCTTATCCAAATTTGCTTGACATTTCGTGATTTCGAGTAATCGTAAGAGTTAGCGGTTAAAATACCGGGAGATAATAATCGGTCTGACAGCAGCATCAAATTTTCTCAACCAATTCTCAAGTCTATTTGTTCTTATCAATCGTAATTACCGGTTTAACGCATTACCCAAATATACTCAGCCAGCACATACAACATCACTCATTCAAGGTACATATCTGGGGTACACAGCGCGAGAATAATGGCTGACTCAATTACAAATGATTCCCGTGAACAGCTGAATCAGTGATAATAATTTCTATTTTTCTATTTTCATTGTTGCAGTTGATTTTCAGTGGAGAATACACAAAGGCGATGAACAAGGATTGGCACAGCGGCCACTTTTGCTGCTGGCAATGCGACGAATCTCTCACTGGACAACGGTATGTACTACGAGACGAGCATCCGTATTGTATCAAGTGTTACGAGAGCATTTTTGCCAACGGATGCGAAGAGTGCAACAAGATCATCGGCATAGACTCAAAGGTAATTCAATCGATAAAAAAAAAAAAATTAAAAAATCCTATCGAATGAAATAATAGTCGGGGAAAATAAGCCCAATCGTCAGATCACGGATTACAATGGGGATCTCGAGAATCTGGTGGAACGTAATAGTCCGTTAAATCGTGCCAATAACGCGCATAACTCGACAAATCGTACAACATCCTCGGATTCACACGGCACACCGATGCTCCTGGTGTCGACTTACTCACTCCTAGAAATAGAAATTCTTCCCGATGCAAGCACCACGATATCTCCCTCTTTCTCCATTCTGGTGTTATCGCTTATGATTATTTTTGTCGTAACCCACCAACGCACTGAGAAACGAAACACCACAGGCTTTGAATTTTCGTCATCCCCCAGGGCATCACATTTCCGAGCCAAAATAATATAAATGTCGAGTGTCAACAAGAATTATAACCGATGTTGAAATATTCTGGAATAATCTTTTCACGCTGACAATCATGTTAACACGCTATTTGTTATTGTCAACGATTGATGCTCAATGGATTATTTTTTTTTAATGCAGGATCTGTCGTACAAGGACAAGCACTGGCACGAGGCCTGCTTCCTCTGCCACAAGTGCAGGGTTTCCTTGGTGGACAAACAGTTTGGAAGCAAGGTCGACAAGATCTACTGCGGCAATTGCTATGATGCCCAATTTGCAAGCCGTTGCGATGGATGTGGCGAGATCTTCCGCGCTGGTATGTTCCTCATCAAATTTTATCATTAATTTATCGTTAATCTCATCATGACGATTTTTTCAATCATTGATAATTCGATAATTCGATCCGACACCCGGAATTTTTATCTCCAATTTCAACTCGAGAATGGCGTGCCGAATAATTATCACGATCTCATCGACAACACGTTGGTCTATCCCAGCAGTGATGTTCTAGTTATAGTAATGCCGATAGATTTCGCATTCGGTTTTTCTTATTAAGGTAATGGAGTCAAGGCTGACCATCGACTGACCTGGACAATTATCGATATGTCGGGAAGGACTACTCCTACGTTTCATGATTTTTATAAGTTATTTTCAACCGGTTGAAAAAGTGAAAGAAGTCGCTAAATAAAGAATTGATGATTCTGGTGTGTACGGGTACCGGACAATTGTTGTTGGACCAGTGTATACCCATATCAACGAGGAACCGATCTTTTGGGTTTAATGTAGGCCAGGGGCCAGACCAAGGTTGCAGGTCAGAAGTCACTGGAGAATTATACAATCGTGGAAAGTGCATGTTAAAAAAATTATTTCAAACAATTGTCGAAGGGAATTTCATTTGAAAAAAATGATGAACGACTATTACATCAATTGACAACGAGTTACGTAAATGGAATGGTGGAAAAACTAGACTTTTTTCCATGGAAGAACTTTTTCGCGATTCACAGACAAGAGCAAACAGATAAACTCGAAAATTTAAATCGGGATGGCAAAAAGAAGGAAAAACAATCCAGTGCAAAATGGAGTTTCGTTGCACACTGTACAACTCGAAGCTCTCCAGTTCTAAGTATAGTAACGTGAAAAGTTATTGCAGGAAGCGTTGCGCCTGCTCGCAATAGTTTCATTCCAGCCGGGCAACTTGAATTTTCACCGCAGTAAACCAACACCGATTCCATATACTGCATCGGCTTCCTTTCCAGTTCAAAGAAGAACACCAAGAAATCGCTAATTTCCACTACCGAATTCACTATTTTCCTTGAATTAAACCTCAATCAATTTCTAAAGAATAATTACAAGAAAAATAAAAAAATTGAGAGAAAAAATCAAATCACCTCAAGCTTGATAAAATTCTTTAAATACCGCATTTAAAATTGCCGTAAAATTAAAATTATCCGACATAATGACATTGGCGTGTGAAATAATAAAATAGATTTCGCGTGTAATGACGATTCATTGATTTGCCCTGGCGCCGGGTATAAGTGATTTCCAAGAGGATCAATCGATCCCTCAAGTTGATAGATAAACGTCATTACACTGATCGATAACTCCCACCCCAGGATAATCAAACGGCGATCAATTAATGACAATTACAGCGTCGAGACGAGACGGTTAGGAATGAAATCCCTTCCCAGACGGCGTGGCACGCGCAGGGGGAAAAGCCGTAAATGAGGGAGAGAGTAAATGAGTAAAACACGCAATCTTGGGTTGACTGTGTACTAAAGAACGTCAGTAGTGTGAAGCGAAGGATTGTGGTAGGGGCCAGAGAGTACGAGTTCTTTTCAATAAGTATTCAGACGCATCGGCGATCGCACTGACTTCAATTTATGACAAGACGTCTCGATTAATCACCAGGAGGAAAAAAAAAACCACAACAAATTGAGTGAATAAGCGAGTGATAATAATTACAAGTGAATTCCCCGTGACTGATTTAAAAAAATGGCAACGGAAGCTTTGAGGGAGCGTTTGTCGAGCAATTTGCGATTGACGACGAAAACTGTCGGCGAGGAGAGGATCAAAAGGGCCAAGGAAAAGGATGAGGATGTCGCGGTATTCAGCATGGTACCACTCGAGGGTGATTCCAAGTTTCGATGCTATTTGGGGAGGGAGTGCAGAATGGGGGATTGCAAAAAGGCACTTCCAGGTGATTTAACTGTTATTTCTTCCGATGGAATTCTCCTCAGGATGAGGGCCACTCACACCTCAAATCACGGTGTCAATACCTGAGTCAAATCTATTCGAAAATCGATTTTTCCTTGTGCATTGACACGAAATCATTGAGTAGAAATAGTTGAAATAGTTGAAATATTTGAAATAGTTGGAATAATTCAAATATAATTTTGAATTGGCGGTGTAATTGAATGAAAAGTGGTTACACGATTGAGAATATTTTTTCACGTAAACATATTTCCGAGGCAAGGGATATGTGGGCCGAGGTAGTGCGCTCATAATACGTCACGAAAAACCGGTCGGTTTGGAGTTGATCATAGAGACATGACCTTATCGGGAGTACTTGGCTCGGGTGCTTTGCCGTATATGCCATGTTCAAAGACTCCGTAATGTGTGTTATGATGAATATTATCAACTCAGTTAATAACATGTTTATCAAAGAGAATCTTGGTTTACTCACTTATCCTCACACGTCTCAATCCTGATGGATAAATTAGCCTTGACTCCATGGGTGGAGTACAGCTGACCTTTAACTATCAGTTTGCCTATTGAATTTCATTCTAATTGATCCACAAGGTGGACAGTAATATTGTAGGGCTTTCAATCGAGTTTGGGAGAGGTCAAGACGATTTTTTTTTCATCATGTATTTATAAATCTGACGCGTTACGGACTCTCCATCGCCGGAGGCTATTATATTATTGGGAATAAATTCGAGATCTTTCTGGCCCGTGAATAAATAATCTTGATGATTTATCGATCAAATTCTAGAATTATATGGAACGATTGACGTGAATCGTCGCTGATCTATTTGTCGTGAGTGGAATAGTCCAATTGTATCGATTGTTCGATTAATTCCGCGAACCGATCGAAATGAAATTCATCGAGAGAACATTCGGGGGGCATAGGGTTGCGAAAGAGGGCCTTGAGGTCCCATCCAAGTTTATACATATACGGATATAACTGATATATCGATTGGACAGTGACATCACGATTTTCTGACTCACGTTTTGATAAAAAATCATTAAAAATTCACCGATCCTAGCTTCCGATACGATTTTAATTCGCTCCGTTGATTGATTTGGCGACAATTAACAGCCGGAAAATTCAAGCGTTAGATCATCGTTGGTATTGGAATACCCGTTGATAATAATTCATATCTCATCCGAGGCGTAAAAAATAATGAAGGCTAAGGAGCACTCAAAGACGCGCTTCAACGCCTACGAAAAAAAAAAATCTAGGAAATGCTGAATTACGAGTTTCTGACTCATTTGGTGGCTCTTGAAATTTATTAGCCAAATGATGTAATGAAGAACCGTCGGTTTATTATTATGGAAATACGCGGGTATCAATAATCTTTATCAATCAGATCCAAATCATAATGAGAGAAATGATGTGAAATCGATAATCATCTCGAGCATTTGCAGAGAATAGAAATAACGATAAAAATACGAAAGTTTTTCCTCCACAATTCTACAGAGAGAGCCCAAAAATGGCCGATGATCTCCATCGGTGACTGAGAAAAAAAAAACATCGCCCACATACGCACAATATGACGTACACGATTACCATAACCAGTTGATAGATACATTGAGTGGCTTTCAGCGCGAGATAAAAACACAATGGGCTGGAGAAATCGATGATTAGAATTATGCATTCATCAGGTCATCAAGAGGAGTGTGAAAAACTTTCCATGTGGGAATTTCCACATAAAATCAAGTACCCAGAGAGTTGAGAGGCCATTTTAAAGCTTATGCTGAGCTTATATCATGATTTGAGGGTAAAGAAGCGTAACTGGAGGGCTTGTACGCGTGAAGGAAATAACAAAAAAAAAAATCCCCGTCATCACGCTGATACGATGTTATTGGGCTGTTACAGGTACGAAGAAAATGGAGTACAAGACCAGGCAGTGGCATGAAAAGTGCTTCTGCTGCGTCGTATGCAAGAACCCCATCGGATTAAAGAGCTTCATCCCACGTGAGCAGGAGATTTACTGCGCTGGCTGCTATGAGGATAAGTTTGCCACCCGTTGTGTCAAGTGTAACAAGGTAAAAAAAAAAATTCTCTCCTTCCCTCCATCCCTACTGCTCCTAATTGATAAAATTAATTACTCGTGTAAATTGGTGTTACATCAAGATCTAAATATTGATTCTCATCCCCAGATTATAACCAGCGGTGGTGTTACATACAAAAACGAGCCGTGGCATAGAGATTGCTTTACTTGCACCCACTGCAACAATTCTCTTGCTGGACAGCGATTCACTTCGCGCGACGATAAGCCCTACTGTGCCGAGTGCTTTGGCGAGCTATTTGCCAAGAGGTGTACCTCCTGCGCAAAACCAATTACTGGTTTGTTTAAAATAATTCCCTACACCAAAGTAACCTGATGGAATTGATGGAAAATCATGGTGAAATATCCCTAACAAATTATTTGTAACGACAGGTATCGGTGGCACTCGTTTCATCTCATTCGAGGACAGACACTGGCACAATGATTGCTTTATCTGCGCTGGATGCAAAACATCATTGGTTGGACGTGGTTTTATAACCGATGCCGAAGACATTATCTGCCCAGAGTGCGCCAAGGCAAAGCTCACGACCGAATGATTCAATGAAAAACGAAAGAACAAATTGCCCTCCCCCAACATTAAAGAGTCAAAAAGCTTTTAAATATTATTTCATAATCTCGCTACGATTGATATTTGTTTGATTAACTATTCCTCACTCATCTTCCTAGTGAATTGACAGGAAAATAAAGGAAAGAGGGGAGCAGTTGCTCCTCCAATCGTAGCGATATTAGTCATTTACTATTGTAATAGTCATTTGTAATTTCGACTTTTCCCTATGACGTGTTAGATGTGTAATGTTAATGCCTCGGCTGCAGCTCTATCGGAGAGTGTCACGAGCATTGTCTCGGATAGAGCTGCGGTAGATGGCTGTTGTATTGACTATTCAACGTGCGATAAATGAGCAGTCATAATAATTCTCATTAAAAGATAATATGGGAGCTAAAATCACCCGCAGATGCCTTAAAAAGTATATATAGACAAAATATATATATCAAAATGTCGATGAGAGTGAGATGTTGATGAGATTAGTGTGATGTTGTTAATTTAAAATTTCCTCATATTTTTTTCCCTTATTCTCTCCTATTTTTATCTCGTTTTCTTTGTTTTTTCTGCTTTTTTTGTAATCGAAGATCGTCAGGTGATTCGATCAGTACGAGTTAAATCAAGTTTTGTTTTTTTTTTGCCGACGGCAAAAAATACTGAGATTTTATACGCAACAAGAGACGAAATAATCTCGTTATATTTCTACTTGATTGACTCATTCACTCATCGACGTGTGTTTTCCATGAAATTCGCGGCGTGCATGCTTTATCTCGTTTGAAAGAGAGAAAATAAAAATAATTGCGTGAACAATGCACCATCATATACTTTTTTTAAAATCTCTCAATCATGTTTAAATGCAGCCACGGGAATTTATTTATTATGATTTTGCTCATTGTTTTTCAGTTTGTTTTTTTTTTCTTCGAATGTGATCACCAATAGCATTGGAATAATTCACGGTAAAATCCCAGAGGAAAATGAGTCGAATTCCGAAAGAGGAATGATATGAAAATATGAGAAAAATAGGGGATTTACCCGCTTCAATGCACTACACACAGACACGGAATTCAATTATATCATTGAAACAATAAATATGGATTTACGCACGAGTGATCACTCGTTTCTCCATCCCCTCCTCATTCCTCCCCCCACAATTCCTTTTCCTCTTTATAGTACCAATGAAATTTGTGGCCTTATTCAAATAATTATACAAACACCGAACCCCGAGCAAACTAACGTTTTGAATAATATTGTTAGTACGAAATGTTATCTGAATTTGTAATACAGGTGAATTAATATAAATATTTAACGCAGAGTTAATAAAATCTGTTCTACCCCGTCGTTTGTATTCTAACTCCCTGAAATCATTGAGGGATTTAATTCTATCTCATTATTACGCCTCAATTGCCCGAAGTAATGGCATTCCCTGGGAAAATTCCCTCTGTATCGATAATTCAGAGTGAACTACCCCACGCCAGATGTCGCCATGAAATATTTCCTCCACAAGAACTGCATCAACCCCCCGATCAGCTGTTCGATGCTAATATTAAAGAAAGCACCGTATGTTTGTTGTGTTTTATCCCCGAAAGATTTAAAGAGAGAAGATATTATCGTAACAGTGAAAGTAAAACATGTGGATATTAAGATTAATAAACAATCGTATGGATATTTTGTCAATTAGCGTTTTGTGTCGTCTGTGATATCGAACAATCGGATTTTCAGGGGGTGTTAATGAATTCTGATGGATCTGGCGATTATCCTGCAGGAAAGGTAAGTGCTAATTGTCATTTACCATTGCAATGAGTGGCTAGTGACGTAGCCCTCGGCTGAAGAATAATTTCCATGATTTTTCTCAAATTTACAGTATTTTTTTCGTCGTGTATGAGAAACAAGACGATATGTCAATATTTTTCATTAAAAAAATTCCTGAATAAATAGTCATTACTCGATGAGACCGGGGGAATGAAAAAAACAAACCGATGAATGTGTTATTTGAACTGATTGTACGAAACCGCGTAAAGGTGCAATCAACAGGCATAAATTAATGAGCGCGGCTGTGAGAACAATCGATATTCATTGTTGCAACGAGCATTTGGAGATGTTAATTCACCGAGAGGTGACAATTCGCAATAAACAAGAGCGGTTACCGGGATAAATGGAATAAAGTTTGGCACAACAGTGCAAAGACACTGAAGCGTATCCTGGTTAAAGTCCATCACCATTAACAACGTAAGAGCCCGAAGGATCAGTGAGCCTGAAATCCCATTAAGTCCCAGACTTTTTTCTACCCTTTGGTAATCTCAATGCTTGTCAATCGTTGATCCAACTCACGCATCCGTTGGACTTTTAGCGGATTACCCGTTGGTAGCAGTGAGGAAGAGAGAAAAAAATAATGGAGTAAAAGAGAATGAGGGGATAGAGGGATATGGTTAAAACGTGAGAATTTTTTGGAATGCCAATATCCCTTTACCCCCGAACCCCTCAGGATTTTTAACGTGTACGTCACATTCCGGGTCTAATGAAACTCGATGATATTTCATGTCTCCCCTGTGAGTTTAAAGAATTCAATTAAAATATGAATGCAAATGCTGATGGATTTTTGTGAAGGAGGGGATCGTCGGGTCGGGGCCTGGGATTCTTGAATTCACACGGAGGTAATTCCCGGTGGAATCCAAGACGCAATGATCCAAGCCCCCATCGATCCTCGATTTTTATCTATTTTTTAACAGATGAAAAATCTGGAATCCGTCACCCCTCCAAGTCAAGTGAAATCGATATTGGAAATTGGTCGTCGTCCTGACTCTTCCGCAAACCTCGCGTGTGCCACAACCCCGGAGCATCTCCAGGAGTTGCCATCGGAGTCGTGTGCCGGAATCTCGAGAGCGTCTCTTTAAATAATCGAGAGGCTATCCATTGGAGCGTTTTAAACGGCTGCATGCCGTTGACTCAACCTTATTGCAACTTTTAGCCGTGCATTCCACCTCCCTACGGGCTATCCGATCGGGTTTTAAATTTCAAAGCCAAAAGTTAACTCTCCCCAGTGGACTCCTCTTTTTTTTTCACTTTTCAATCACGATTTTGTTGATGTACGTTAAATCTGCTGGAGAAAATCGTCCATCCGAAGAGGCTCTCTAACCCAAAGTCGATGTTCAGTGGAAAATGCGAGAGCGGGTGTCTCAGAGACACTGATCCTTCACTAAGTCCTAATACAACGAGAAAAGTCTTGTCACGCTGGCATGGAGGTAAAGCCTTTGGACATTTCTTTGACGATGTCGTAAAAGTGCACTCGCCATCCGATTCGGCCTATCGATTTTCCACCCCCCCAGCTTATTCAATGTATCTGTCCAGTATATCTATGTTGAATGGTGCACCATCCCCTCGAGCCCTTGGCCCCAGGTACATCTAACTCCTGTTACCTCTTTTTCGGTTGAAAAACGTCGTCCGAATAAGAGCACCCGTCGTTTTAACAGAGTCACGTCAAAGCCGGCTTACATTACCATGCAACCAAAATACTATTGGACAATTCTTTCACGTTCACCCAGTTCTTCTGCCATTCTCTATCATCCTCTATCATCCTCCATCATTTTCTATCCCGGAAGAGCTACTCCGAGGCGTACACAACTCCAGTGCAAACATGAGAATTTGAATAGGGCATCGGTCATCTACCTGAACGTCAGATAAGTTGTCTCATCCATTGAAAATCACAGTCTGCATCATCAATTCAATATCCCAACGCATTATATACTGAACAAATCCACAACCATTGGTGTCTCAAACAATTCCCCGATGTCTGTTAATTCCGCATCTGATACAATACAAATCGCCATGATGCTACCTCAGCTGGTATTCTCATCTCCAATGGCTTTGTTACTCGCAAACAAACGAGGTTTTGACTGCGAAGACAGGACGCGTCTCTCTAAAACAAGTTGCATTTGAGTTGCTTCAAACTCTGAGGGATATCGTCACGGCCAAGTTTCTCGCTATTTCAAGCGCACAGAAGAGAAGACATAAACCGCGACACAATTTTCCCATCGACAAATGTCGATACACTGGGGAGGAAATGACAGTGTCTACTGTTCTACATTGGAAAATACCTCGGTGAAAATGGCAATGCAAGATGCGCGACAGCAGTGCAAAACAGTTAATTCCTCCAAGATTTGTACGTTACACCCATAAATCAGTGGTGCAGAATAGTTTGTGGAATGGTTGGTAAGTAAGACAGTCCAGTCTGCAGTTAGCATATCATTGGGTGGAGATGGGGTAGTTATTCGTCGAGTCAGCAGCAACGAATCTTAATTGTGGAATAGGTTACGGTGTACGATGTACTTGTGCATTACGACATGGTAATGCCATCGTAACAGTGGACTCACCACTGGCATCCTCTTTCTCTCACCTTGCAAACCCACCATTAGAGTTCGTCCAGAAAGCGTTACCATCCTGCCACAATATTGCCGCACACTGGCACTCAGCCAGGTCCTGTAGTCCTATGAATAGTCTCTCCCGCCCTTTCATACGGATACTTTTAATCTGTAGTCTAACTGACGACGAAAAAAAACGGCCCTCGAATCCGGTGGATGAGTTGGTGCTTTCGGGCAAGTTAATAGCAGCTGGTTTCTTCCCTCTGGATAATAATCTTCAAATCCTTGGGGAATTTAACGATATTTGGATGGTTACAAATTTTATTTCAACCGTGATGGATTATGAATTACGATATCGTCGGGTGTTTACCAGTGCCACTGGAGGTATTGGTAATTCATGTATTTTCGAGTGGATCAATAACCCCCGGATTATCCAAGCTGGTTCACTGTCTACGCTCGGTGTACCGTCGTGTGGCGAATACTTAGTTAACCACATGAAAATATGGTATTGCATTGTATAACCAGAGCCATTGATATTGCCCCTTCGCTATCTATTGATAATAGTATACCTCATTGAGGGTAGAAACCATGAATTTTGTCCAGAGACAGTATGACCAAGGGATACCAGCTGAACTACATCACTGACTATTCAGTGGTCAATGGATCCCATCAACTCGAATGAATTGCATTATGGCATAACCGTGACTCAGGATAAACGAATTCATTAATCGTGATCATGATTATAAGTGATGCTCACCATCAAAATATTTGAATTAGTGAATTCTGATAGTTTCCAGAGCAACAGCGGATTTTCACGAATTTTGGATACCACGACAGCAGGGGCTTTGGGGTTTACCAATGCAGTGGCATAAGCTCGTAGCTGGCTTTGAAAATCGTTCGATTGTGCACACGATGCCCACATAATGCATACAATCCGCTGTATTGTTCCCTGGCTGAGGCCACACGTGCACATAACTTTGTTGATTTTCTTTATTAGAAAACGAAATGCTGCGTTTAGATTCCACGCCGATGCCTCGACTTTAACCGGAATAAAATGAAAAAAATAAAGCCACAGGGCCTCGAAGAAAACTTCAGTAAACCATTTTCCAACTTTGGCGTTGAAATTCCGAGGATGGAATGGGAATTTATTCATGTGGAGTATGAAGTTTTCTATGTACGGGGGATAAATCCACCGGTCCAATTCGTTCGGGGCGTCGATCATACGAAGTGGGTGGGACTCTAGGTGGTTTCTGTGAACTTTTTCCGTCGAGAGAGAGAGAGAGAGATGAAAAAAAAAATCGCAACGTCTGCGACAAGGAGAATGTACAGCATTTTGTTGTGAAGAAAACCTCCAGAGTATATAGAGATATTGTCGTTCGCGGTTGGAGTATGATGGATGCATTGCGAAATTCTTCGAGTTCAAGTTCCATGAATATCCTGAGCTCCTCTCATAGCTCTTGAGATGGAAAGGTTGGGTAATTTGTCACATCTCGTCGTGGTTTCTGCCTACGATACAGTACACCACCGGTTTCTGGGATTTCAATACCGATGTGACTTATCTCCAGAGATTTTGGGATTTACTGTGCCATTCGTATGATATACCTGGGATGTTCATAAATTTTCAGCTATTGATGCAATTTCACGGTGGAAGAAATTTCGAGACCGGCGAAATACGAAAGCACTCCGAATTCGCCATTGGAATTGCAATAATTAAGTGTCAAAAAGCTATTTTCCACGGGCAAAGAAATGTTACGGCAAATAACCAGCTTTGCAATTATAGATACAGATCTTCTCTAAATAGAAAACATAATCAAGAGGTTAACGGATTTTACGGCGTGTACTGTTCCCTCAGTCGTTATTTTCCAAGTAATGAGATCTGTTTCGTTACGGTGTAATGATGAATTATTTTTTGCCACGTTAAATACCAAATAAATTCTTGATTATCAGCGATGATTACGAATAAATGGAGAGCAGCCTCATCTT